GGCTGCCGCCGGCAACAAAAGCGACACACGGCCACCCCTCCCCCCGCTGGCGTGCGCGCTGCCCCCCCCACCGGAACCCAGCATGACGGCACATGGTATGGAATACCGGGCTCTGTTTGGCCAGGTGGGGTCAGCCCCCACCCCCCGGCTGTGCCACTTCCTGGAGTCTGGTGAAAATTAACCCTGTCCTGGCCAAACCAGGACAAGAATTTATCTAGAAATGAAGAAAGAATGAAATAAATCGACAGGTTTATCAATTCAGTTTTACATCCCTCATTAATTAGCTTTTATTTCTAGTGTCCTTATTGCAATTCAGTTATACCCGAGGCAGTTGTATTGAATACATTTACCAAATAAACACTTTCTTCCATCCTCTTCACAAAGGTAATCTTGGAATTGGTTGGTTTAGGTCAGTTTGGTTTTGTTTTTTTCTTTAATGTGTGTATTAGATCAATGCTGTGTTAAGATCTCTGAAGAGGAAAGTAAAGATGAGGTGTAGGGGGTTTTTATTTACTTACTGTAGCCAAACAATTTTTACAGAACTGGTTTAGGAAATGTGCAGTCATGCCTTAAACTTTGAGGTGTGTCTCTTAGCCAGGATCAACCTGCCTACCCATATGTCTTTGGTAGGTGGGAGCTTCATTGCATCTGTATCAATTCCTCAGTGAAACCCATTATTTTTGGAATGGAAAAAGCGCAGACCCAAATAAACCATGATTTTAAACTAAATAAAGTATTCAAAGAGATTTGACTTCCCTCTCTTCAATCCTACAGTGGCTCTTTGTTGAGCAATACAGTGGACATTTTCATATTCAGTTATATTCTTCATGGTTAATTTATTGCAAGGGAAACTTCTAAACAGCCACCATTAAAATTAGCATGAGACTAGAAAAAAAATCTGCTTTTATTTTAGTTAAAGACACTGTATTGTGAATAGACATTACAGTTGCGCTCTTACAACACTGGCATGTGTGCTACCCTTGCGTGACTAACCCATTTGATGATGCTTTCCTGGCACTCTGAAGCCTTGGTTTGTTCTCCTTCACCTCCTCTTCCTCTTCTGTAACCCCTTCTTTTTTCCCTCTAGCACTCATGAATAGTGCACACCAAAAATGCCCTGTGGAAGAGGTATGTCTGACACAACACTATGCAACTCTTGAATCAAGTATGCTTTGCCAATTTCAGCTAATGATTCTGTGATGGCACAGGAACAGCAGAGTTGTCAGCTATGCACAAGAAGACTCTACCACTTCCTAAATTGTACTTGCTATGCAAAAATTTGACCCTCGGATAATTTCCTTTTCTCTCTAAAGAAATCAAAATGAAAATATAATGTGGCCATTGAAAAAATTATTTGAATATAAATATGGCAAAAATAGAAAAAATTAAGAGGTCGGGATTCACATATGTTATGTAACTTAAAATACATTGTTTGGGGAAAAAAAAAAAAAGAAATGTTGCTGACTTTTAATCCACAAATGATTAAACTTTAGGAAATTTCTAGCTGGGAACATTTAAATTTTTTTTTTTTTTACATAAAGGAGAGTGAAATAGCTTCTTAGATATTTTTGCCTTAGTACTTTTCCCCTCTCTAAAACAAAGAAAAAAAGACATTAAAAAAAGATCAAAGAACACATCTCAGAAATGAGCCATCAAAAGCAAACCCAGACGTGTTTAACACTTCTTTTTTGTTTTATTCATGGATTGTTTTAACTAAAGAAAAAGAAATTTCAACTCTGGGGCCACCACAATGCAGAGTGCAGGAACATGGGGCGAGGAAGAAGAAAGGGGACAGGACCATGTGTCTTGGTGCTACCTTGGACATAGTGTGACTTAAACTGATTATGAAACTGCACCTTAAATGTTTTTAAAACTTCTCATATTTAATAAAATATTTTTTTTTAACTTGGCCACTCTTAAAATCTGGAATTTATGATGAGATGTGATATGTTCTCCATTTCATTGATAGTGCATTGGTAAGGGCTGTGCTATTATCCTCATCTTATTGCTGTGACAGTATATTTTAACCTCTTCAGAACTTTTATTTGTTTTCTTTAATAGCTTCTCGGACCTCTAGCCATAGCGAACAGCAGAGGGATAGAAGGTATGATGCTATTATTTATATTGCAATTAGATGTCACTGTAAAACTTGTTAGTTTGTGTCAGAGTATTACTTTTTACGGCTTTCTCCTCTATTTTGTGGTTGGTTTTTTTTCCTTCTCTCTATCCTTAGTGTGTTTAAGCATAAATTAGACTGAGAATGAAATAAAAATACTGTGATTCTTAAGCACAGGGTAGGTTAAGAGTTTGAGGAGTTTTCTCATCAACTTTTGTATATGTCCTCGAAAGAAGAATGCAACCAACCACCACACCTCTTCAGAACTGTTTTACTTTCCTGACATCTATTTACGGAATCACTTCACAATGAAAATAAGCACACTTTCAGGCCTCCTTCCAGCTTCTTAGAGGGTATTGAGAAAGGAGGTCACCAGCCTGGACATCTGTTGAACTGAGTCTGTCATTATTTTAGGTGTGAAGAAACTGCAGCCCTCTTTTTTTTTTTTTTTTTAATTCTTTTTACAATAGTTTACAACTTTGTTACGATTGTAACAAAAGTTACATTTCTGCCTTTTTTTTTTTCTGCCAGCAGAAAGAGCTTTCTGTAGCAGATGCTTCACCTACTCACAGAACTCGCTTCTCAAAGCATATTTTGTGTGAGACTGGATTGATCAGCGGTGCCCCGGGGGCCATGATCTGGGAGCGTGGGCCATCCCTGCAGCTTGTGCTCTGAAGCAGTTGTTACAGTGGTAAAACAGGGGTAGTACCGACCGGTCCTTAAGCAGCACGGGAGGTCCCTGTTGTACCAGATGCTGTAAGCAAACAGGCCCTGTCCCAGAGGCCTCTCGAGGCTTGCTCTGCCCTACTTCAGCACAGTGGGAGGTTTCCCTAGAGGTCTGAGGACAGAGAAGCCTTTAGGTAGCCAGCCAGAAGCAGTTTTAACTATCTTACTGTTTTAACCTTGTAGCAGGCTAAGGGCAAACACATGATTAGTTCTCAGTATCCCATGAAGACTGAGAGTTCTTCTGTCTAACCGAGTTGCACTTGTGTTTAAGTACTTGAAGCATGTAAATTATTTCACTGAAGCCAATAAACCTACTTTTTGGCTTAGGCGTTTAATTAGGTGGTTTGAATGGAAGCCCAAGTGCTTGCTAGAAAGGGCAGGTAAGTTACTTGAAAATAATGGAAAAACGTCTTTGGTTAAATCAAAAATACCTGAGCTATTTTGGTTTCCCATGCCAAGAACACCTTGATCTTTTACACTGAAAAGAACTATTTTTAAATGTTTTAGATAATTATTTCCCTTTGCCTTCATTTCCAGACGTCCTGAAATTACAATAGTTGCTGCTGAACCTCTCCGGTCATCCTCCTGGTTTCCGGGTGCCAGCCCTGTCACTCCTCAGGGATTAGGATTCCCTTCTGCTTCATCTCATGCTCAGTGGAGGAGAAATGAGCATATTCCAGCTGAGGTAGGCGTGAGTTTACATGAGATGTGATTGATTTACAAAGGTAAAAAGCATGTTAAGTTAGAGAGGAACAGAATTTTTGTTTCCTTAGACTTTCATCATCTTGAATAAGAGACTATGACAGTGTTCTTTTCCTCTGCGTTTGTTAATTTAGTATTTTTAATTTTATGTGCTTTTTTGTTTTTTTAAAGGATCACATCTGGAGGTACATTAATATTTATCTCTCCGTTTTGTAGCTTCCACCATCATATGAGCAGGTGATAAAAGAAATCAATCAAGTTCAAGTCAATACAACAAATAACAATAATGCTGCTGCCCCTAGACATACCACTACTTCTGCAACACAAACTGACTTTCCGGAGGAACTAATTAGCCATTTGCCAGGAAGTAATGTAAAAAACAGTGTGCCTACACACTGGGAATCTGCAGCCTATTCAGGTGAGGCTGTTTTGGATTTCTCATGGATGAAAACCTTACTCTGTCTCCTGAAGATGATGTTTATTACTGGTCTGTGCAGCTTTTAATATGAATAACAGTTAAATTTCTGTGAATGATTACTGCTGTAAATTCCTGTAAAAGTCCTCTTTTCCAAAGATCTACCATTACATTCACGGTCAGACTATAGTTAAATCTTGAAAGTTTTGCTCTATTCAGCCAAAATGGCAATCACTTTGGGGCCAGAGGAGCTCAGACATCCAGTCAGACTAGCAGCAGTGTTACATGTTCAGACTGAAGAGTGTCCAAACCAAGCTGAGAAAGTTACTGTACTAAAGTTACTAGTTACTGTAACTTGTTACTGTTACTGTAACTAGTTACTGTAACTAGTTACTGTTACTGTACTAAAGTTACTAGTTACTAGAAAGTTACTAGTTACTGTACTGTACTGTTTGGTCTAGATGTTGCTTGCATACCCCTCATGCTGCAAGCTAACAAGTAGTTTTGAACTCAGAATGTATAGATACCATGCATTTCAGCAATCTTCAGCTTCCTCCTAGATTTCATATATTTTTTTTTTTCATTCATCTGTTTAGAAAGAGAACTGCAGTTTCACAAGCAGTAGTAAATTCTGAACAAAAACCATTACGTTTATCATCCTGATGGCTGATTAAAAAATAGCAGAAATAAAGTGTTCTGGAATAGATCACTGAAGCCTCTTCTTTTCTGTTAGCAGGGCAGAGTCCACTTAAACCTCCTAGGCCTTCTGCATCTCTCCTGAATAGGTCTCCTTCAGAAAATGAGAATCCCTTAATAGTCTTTGAAGTTTCTGAAGGTCAGAGCTGCCAAGAAAATCCCAGTGCTGTGATACGTCCTGTGCCAAAGCCAAGATCAAGAAGCAATCTCAGACCTGTGGTCAAAAATACTGAAAGTAAGATAGGCAATGGAGAAGAAGTGAACCAGTCTACCACAAAAAAGCAGCAACTTCCAGTTCAGCAGTCACCTGTCTTAGATGATAACTTACTAGACAATCACTTGGCGATGGACAGCATGAGTACAGAAAAGAGCCAAAATAGTATTGTTTCAAGGATCAAAGCTTTTGAATCCCAAGGAACTAATGATACCTCAGGATTATCAAAAAAGCCAGAAATTGCCCCTCGTTCATTTCCCCCAAGACCTGTTACTGCAAAGAAGCCAGTGGTTGCTCCAAAGCCAGGCATAAGCAGAATTGCAGGAGACTGGGATGCATGGACAGAAAGCAAACCAACACCTTCCAAGGAATTGCAGCCTCAACCTGAAGTAGCTGGGAGCAGTGTTGTAACCAAACCTGAACTGCCAAAGAAGCCAAAACCTGGCCTTGTTAAAAGTAGTAGTAGTGATTTTCTTGATGCAAGGAGTGGATCAGTTGCAGAGAACAGTGATGGACGAAAGAAATTTCCTGTTCCTGCTCCAAGGCCTCTCGTTCCTAAAAAGTCACGTCACACAGAAAATCCTGCCTTTTCTTTGGCCTCACTAAAACCCATCGCTGCTCCCCCACAAGCTTCCGTATCTGCCCAAGAAAAAGTTTTCAAGTCTCTGGAGGAATTGTCACCTGCAGCCAGCTCCCCAGCACCTGTCTTGCAAAATAAACTAGATGTGGAAGGAGATCTGATCAGTTTTGATGATGACGTTTTGCCCCTAAGTCCAACTTGTGTAGTTAAAGATAGCATCAGTTCTGAAGCAGCAGCAGGTAAGAAGAAATTCTTTTAAACTGGCACTGTGGTTACTCTTTGCAGGTGTATGATCCTGTGTGAGTTATGTCTGCCTATCTTGACGGGCTTGATGTGTTTCTATGAAATTCTTGGTTTTTTGTTATGTCAAGATCGCTATGAAATTACTTGGATTTTTAGACTCGGGAGGTTTCAAGGCTGTGTAAATCTCAGAACTTGCCTGATGGATTTGTTACATGCTTACTAAAATAACGATAAAAGACTTGATGTTCTACGCTAGGTGTCACCTCCAGAATGTATCACAGTTCTCTCTGGGGAACTTGGGACATCTTATCTCTCGCCATCTAATCTGACTAATTTATTGGAGTGCCTGAAGTTCTTTAGTGGACACCTAGTCATCTAGAGAAGGAGCAATGTTTGCTGTGGTTAGGGAAACTTATGATCAAACATACTGGGATACTCTCCCCATCTCAGCAGTGCCTACTTATTTTCTCTTTCCTATCTTTGTGTCTTGTCATGTACTATGTGCTTGCTACGCAACTTTAATTTTTTCTAATGAGTGAAAATAATAATTTCATATGGACAGATTAATTACTGCAGCTACGTCCCTTTCATAAACCTTGTCTGATCCATTAAGCACTTGGGGTCGATTTTCTTAATGCTGTTTTAGGTGGTTTGACACAGGTGGGTGTTGGGCTGTCGTTAAATTTTACAGCAATAGGTTCTTCCCTCTTAATATTCAAGTATGTCCTGATGTAGCTTACCAGCCCCATTGCAATCCAGGGATAGTTCTGCTTTAAAACAGATGGTGTGTCATACAAAATGCTTGTTTAAGGGAGTAACTATGATTTTTAATCTCTTTTTTTTAACCTCATTTATCATTAAAAATCTCAGCTTTCTGAAAAGAGGAGCATAGATACTGTGTAGTTGTCACAGTAAATCGATACTAATGATTGTTAACAAATACGATTTCTTCAGTTTGTGGATTATATTGTTAGGATGAAGTTCTGATTTGTTATTGTTTCTCCTCTGTATTGGCATAAAAACCCCAAGGCAGATGTAGAAGGTCCCTTAAAGCCCTAAACTGTTAAGATCAGTATGTACGGACATAGAGATCTCAGGGGAGCTTATGAAGGCAGTGAAATAAGGCAGGAGAATATCCTGCAGGAGAGGTGGTTAGCTCAACATGGATACAAGTCCATTTTTTCTTGGACTGACAGATTCTGGGAACACTGCAGAAGCTGTACCAAGCCTGGAAGGAGGAAGGAGTACAGGGTGACTGGAGAGGCATTCCATCCTTTTGTCAAGGAAGTGTACGACTGACAGTGTCTAGCTGGGAAGAGTCATGATCATCGTGTCTGGAGCCTGGACTCGTGGAACAGCCACTCTGCATGTGATGGTTTTAGAAGAAAGTTAGAAGCGTGAGGGATGACTCGTTTTCAGTCCATTTAGGGTAAAACTTGTGGTTTCGGTCATTTTATTTTGATTAATAGAAGCAACAAAGGGAAAATGTTCTAAGTAGCAGGCAAGAAAAGTGAGTACGTACATGAGTACATAAAAAGGAAAACAATCCTCTGGCTATGTGCTCGAAATGATTGCCTTTACCCCCCAACCTGGAAAAATTTAGTAGTGTTAATTCTTCTGTAAAATCAGAGGTTGAGTGATCCCAAAAGAAAATCGCCTAAAAAACAGCTTACATGACAAAGTGGTAAGAATGTCAGTCTTCACCTTTCTGGTTGGTGTCCTGGGTGTTGTTCTTGGCTTAGCTAAGAAGCAAGTACTTTCCATTCTCATGGTTAATAGAAGAATTAATCAGGTAATAGTTTCCTGACTTTGAGTCACCTATCTGTGCTTTTATTCGTTTAATAAAATGGCATCTTTGCTGCAACCCCTTCTTACATATTAAAGAGAAAAAGGTCTGAGAGCAGTATCACTTTATTAAACTGTAAAATTAGGATTAATTCCAGATTTTTGCAGGCATTTGTGAGCTCAAGATCTTATCCTATGCCCTTGATTACTAACGCAGTGCTATGTCTTGATAAAGCAGCCACGAGAACAACACTGGCTTTCTGAAAAATGGGGCAACACAGAGCACTAACACTAGCTATTTCTCATGTTCCCGCAAGGAATAGCTTAGGATTTGCAAGATGAATCCACAGTAAAATATTTTGGAAAGGCAGGAAGAGAAGCTCAAATCTTGCTCCCAGTTTCCTGGACTTTTGCATTTCTTACATATTTGTCATTGTCATTACTTAGCAAAATGACAGTGCTCTGCTGGTTGTTATGGCAACCCTAGAAAAGGAAGGAGGCTTTTATGCAGTGGTGTTTGAAACTAAGCACCGACAGCTTGTTTGTCAAAGAGCAATGTTACAGATTACAGCATTCATGAAACTTAATTTTTTTTCTGATATAGCAGGCACATGTCTGGTACTTAGATTAATGTAAATAGAACTGGACGGATCGATGACTGCTGCTGCTAACACCTGATGCAAAAGTAAGAAGGTGAAGCGTTCATTGATGGTGGGGAGGGTGCAGAAGTTGAAGTGAGCGTATGAATGAAAAGGTGGATGAAGCTTCAGTTTCCATAGCAATGTAGCTGACTGACAGAAGACATCAGCTTCCTCTAACAGACGGCTGCCGTCTCCACTGTAGTGAAAGAGATTTGAATGTTATTTATGTGCTAAGATCAACCGTGTTGGCAACAAACCAGGTTATAGTTTCACCAGCTTAACTGTCAGTATTTAACTGGTAGTTTACTGACCAAAGCTAGCTGGATGGTTTTCTTTCAAGTTTACCTTGGGCCATCCCATAGGTGCATCAGTGTTTGACAGCATCTCCAACAGCACAGCTGTTAGTAGAGTGAACGTGCCCTTATCCAAACATTAACGATTTTGTCTTTGTGTGACCTATATGGAGAGGGGGAACCATTCTTCTGGTGCAGATAGAGCCTCTGGGTACCAAGATCCCTTTCGAAGCTTTCAGCATCCACTCTGCCAGTTGAAGTCTGTGGGACCTTTGGAAGCTCAACAGCTCTGAGGTTCAGAGGTGAACTGTCAGAGTCTTGCATCCAAGTCGTGTCTCTGATGCTGGCCCAAGGGAAGTGCCAGGAAGGAGAAGTCAGGAATGACAAATCCATAGAACTGCTCCTTTCATCAGCAGCCAAAATCGATACCAATTTTAAGTGGCATAATTTTGGACTCAAAGGCTAGAGATAATGTTCAAAGCCATTTCTATCTTAATAAAATTGCTCCTGTTCAAGTCAGTCATTTAGAATGTGAAGGCATCTGCTTAGGACTCTAAATCTTGAGGTGCTAATGCTTTGGTGACAGTTGTGATATTTTGGATCACCTGGGGTATTTTTACGTTTCTCTTATAGTTGATAGCAGGCATTTGTGCAGTTCCTGAAGGTTGAAAGTTATGGGAATCTGTCAGGTGGGCTCTCTTCTCACTAATCCATTTTTACAAAGGCTTGGAAATTAAATCCTCGTGGAAGTTGAACTGAATGTAAATTCCACAGCTTCAGAAGATCCATGATTTTACGCATAACTTGTGTTAAAGCAGCTAGTGTGCCTGCTTGCTAAAAGTTCTGACAATGTATGTTTGGACAAAGAAGACAAAGAAACAGTGCATTTAAAGCATACATTTAAATTAAAATGTGGAGGTGATTTTGCTAGAATGTTTTTGTTTCTTTTGGTGTATGGAGAGCTGTCCTTCTCTCTCATCTTCTCTCTCTCTGTAAACCAGCATATAATTCACCGATTGCTGTATGCCTGATATACGAGAACTCGATTTAAACCAAATGCTTTGAAAAATAGTTCAGAGAGACCCTTACCTTACCAGCAGGAGATAGGTCTCTCTTTTGATATCTTCATTATATTAGTGTATTTCAATTCTAACAGTAATACGACTACTGCATTTCTTAATTGCTCTGTCTGTCTATCGATCTGTCTACTTTATCACAGTATAAAAGTTCATTTCTGCCTGTATGGTGAAAAAAAAACCCCTAAACAAACCAGTGCTACTATCCATTTATACATATTGTTCCTTCCTGTGGCATGAATGGTGGAATTTGTGTGACATGGTAGTCAATTCAGAAAAACTGCTGCTTGAGGAACTTCAATTTGTCTGCTGTGGGGATATTGCCCAGCTGCTTGTTTTTAATTGCTTCCTCAGTAAGGAAAAGAAAAAAAAAAGAACTGAAATATTTCTGACTGGTAGATTAGTCCAGACATATCTTCAAAATAATGCAGCTTTTCTTAGGGTTCTGCCATGTTACTTCCGATGACTTTTGTTGTGGTTATTTTAAAGTTGTCTGTCTCTTTCTGCCAAAAGTATCGTCCCCAGAAAAGAGTGAGCTGTCTCATCCATTTTAATCTGCGATTTGGCTTAAACCCCTGACAAAACCAGATTTACCTGAAATCATGCTCCTGTGGGGTGGAGTGGTGGAGGCATAGGTCTGTGCTGTGTCCTGTTGGTTTTGCTGCAAGTTTGGCAATCTCCAGGAGAAATGGTAACAAGCATCCATTAACTCTTCAGATGCTACAGGTGTTTGCTTGGTAAACATAAATCAGAGCCTTCAAGGAGCTTGGAAGTGACTCTGCTGTTAGAACAGGAGAGGGCCTTATATCTAGTTTCAGGAAACAAATACGATTTTTCAATGATAGCTACATAATAGATGAGGAGCCCTTTAGGCTGTCAAATGCAAATGAATTTGCTTTTGAGTCTATGTCTATAGATGCTGTTAAGTGATAATACACAAGTAATAATGTTCTTAATAATAACTGTCTCCTCTGATGCTGTTCACTATATTTATCAATGACATGGACAGCGACATTGAGTGTACCCTCAGCAAGTTTGCAGATGACACCAAGCTAAGTGGTACGGTCGAGACACCGGAAGGACGGGATGCCATCCAGAGGGACCTGGACAAGCTGGAGAGGTGGGCCTGTGTGAACCTCATGAGGTTCAACAAGGCCAAGTGCAAGGTCCTACACCTGGGTCGGGGTAATCCCCGGTATCA